TTGCAGGTGTCATTCAAAGGAAACTACCCCTCAGATGAAGAGGAACTCTCAGAGACAATGAAAGGTAAACACAAAAGTAAATAGATTATGATGACCAATGTTAACACCACCAACTTCATAATTAGTCCTAATAACTCTTACTCATAATAACTCTTCTTCTTTATCAAACTTCCTTGTGCAATGTTTGTGCCATGATGAAGCACAGTGAGGTACCTGTTTCTTCCAGTGAATTACCAAAAACATTTAAATTGTTTGTTAATTTTATTTGAGGGTACATCCCAAAATATTTCCAACAAGCCCCTTAGTTTGTTATTTTTATCATCAGTTGTTAGTATCTACACATGACCAACCCTCATTTTTTGCCTTTATTCCAGTGAGCACATTACAACATTCAACTAATCTCTCATTTTTTCACCTTTTTTTCACATGGAAACAAAAAAAGATGATGACCATGAAAAGAAAGATGAAGGAGCCAGGATGGAGAGAAAAAAAAAAGAGAAAGGACCAAAGATCTCACAGGAATCGAAAGGGAAAGAGAAAAAGGAAGATGCCAAACACTAGAAATAAGTTGTGTACCATCACTCGTGATCAGTACTACCAGTAAACTTGATCATACCGAGACAAAGGCAGATCCAAAATTACTACTAAATTCATTTTATATGTACCTCACCTAACCATAAGTTCACAAGTGTAAGCCATTAAATGATATTCTATTATAATTTAAGGGTTTTTTTTTGTTTGATATACTGGCTATGTGTAAAGGTACACAACTTTATTCTCCACCTTTTCATTTCAAGTAGTATATAGAAATAGATAACATGTACAGTGGAAACTTGATTTAATAGAGTGCCAAGGGGCTGGAGACATTGGTTGGCTATATTGAGGGTTTGTTATATCGAGGTTCTGTGGCATTTATATTACTGTAACTTTAGCTGAGCTGAAACAGAAGTATTGTTTGTCATATCAAGAACTTCGTTGTATAGAGGTTCGTTAAATCAAGGTTCCACTGTACCATTAACTTACTATTTCCTACTTAACCCTTTAATCCCTAAGAGTGACTAGAATCTAATTTCTCCTGACAATATCATCCTTCAATCACACATAAGGTCATGAGAGTCTAGGAAATGATCACCAACTGGAGAAGTTCTTAATTATTAAACAAACTCTCCTTGTCAGCACCTGTGTAAATGTGTAAGTACAGTATGGAGAGTGTGCATACTGATGTTAGAGTGTAGAGGGTTAATGTTGAATGAACACAACACAGCCTACAGTACAACAATGTCTACATTCATTCAGAAAGTGCACTGTTAACCCTTTACACCCTAACATCAGGAGGGGATATTCTCAATACCAGTCTTTATACATTTCCCAAGTGTTAACAACAAAAATTAGTTTAACAATCAAGAGTGTCTTAAGCTGGTGAACATTTCCTTTGTTTTTGTTACCTGAATGTGTAATTCAGGGGTGATGTTGTAAGGAGAAGTTTGATGCTAGTCACTCATAGGGGTCAAACGATTAATCATAGCCCTTAAGTTTTTTAAGAAAGTTATTCCCTATAAAGTTGTGTTCATTCAGTTCAGTTAAGATCCATTACACAATGCCTCTGTTATATTTAGGCAGTAAGTATGTTGACTGAGTCCAGAACATCTCCCTTTGACTACCAAGATCTGATTGTTAATTCTCCTTTCTAGCTGCTGCATATTTCCTTGTGTATTAGTTACAAGAATTTGGTGTTTTGATCAAGATGACAACTTCTACCTGATAAGTTTGAGTATTCTCATCACCTGTTTGCTAAATGATGTTTAAGTGTTATTAATAGGGAGAAGTTACATGTCAATCACTTCTGAGAGTTAAAAAGTTATCAATAAGGCTGTAAGGATTTTCTGCTAAGATCTTGACTAAAGGATCATCACTATCTCTTACAAAGAAAAAAAAATTGAAATACTTAAGAGGTTGTCTCTCTTATTTCCACCCGGTCAATTTCATGTCAAAAATAATTTTCCCTGATATATAGGGGTCAGAATATGTTAAAGTTTGCCTTTTCAAATATATGGAGAGGGAAATTCTAACTTTCTTAGCAAACTAGAAAGGTTGTTAAGGGATCTGATATAAATGTCGTGGCTTAACTATGCAAATCAAATATTTTACAATGTTACAAAATATGCGTATTATTCAATTTCCGAGATGTTGTGATAGTCCCTACCAACTGGTGAAATAATTATGGCCCCTAATGCAGCCAGAAAATTATTTCAAATCAAACCAAATCTAAATTAGTTCTTTCCTAAGTATAGTCTTTCTGTTGACAGAGTTTAAGGTGAAATTGGCAGGGTGGAAATAAGAGAGATGGCCTCTTAAGCCGTAAAGATCTAATTCTGGATGCCTAAGAATTCCTTGTTAGTTGTCAGTGTAGATGGGCTAGATGTCACCAAGGCTACATTTTAATAGTGAGACAACTCAACATTTTGCAACTCGCTAAGGCCAAAGGAACATCCAGTGACAGACAAAAATCCTCATGTTTACAAGCAATTAAGTACTTTTCCCAAGCTGCAAGCCTAAATATTCAGCTGAGTGTTTTGTCATTAGGAATGAGAGTTTGAAAAACACAGTTTAGTACCCATATTACTTTGCTCAGAAGTATTACCTCCAGCTCGAGGTTTTCGAGATACAAGTTTGCTTTAAAAGGTTGCTACTTTTGGTTAGTTCGGTAAGAAGGAAAGGAATTGCGTTGCACAGTGGTTGAATGGTTTATAAAATCTTGCTCTAAACCAGAAGTTGTTTTATTTGTTTTTAAAAAAGTATACATATATCACTGAACGTTCATCTAAAAGTGACACAAGTTTATCTAAAAGTGACACAAGTATTCCCCTGCGCAGTTAACCATAAAAATTTTACATTTTACAATAAACTAAGGATTACCAAAAGTTTGTTCTTGTCTGTATTAAGTCCCATTCCAGCGAAGTTTAAGTTTAAGTTTAAGTTTATCCTTCTATACCCGAAATGACTACGCCTGACCTGGGGTTTTCGTGCTTTGGGAAAATTTCTGTTTCCAATACATTTGCTCCCACTTCCTTTTACACCTTCCCTTTGAATGCTATCTCTGAAACTTAACGAAAACTTACGAAATACTCACCTAATGACCAAGGTTCTTGCAACAACACTACCTGCCATCGTCCTCCTCAATCAGTGTTTGACTCTTTCCCAGTCTTTCTCGTTAGTACTGTAACCGAGCTCGATTAGTTATCGAGCTCGATTAGTTATCGAGCTCGGCTTGTAGTTATCGAGCTCGATTAGTAATCGTACTCGATTAGCAATCGAGCTCGACTTGTAGTTATCGAGCTCGATTATCAAACGTCGTTTGCTTATCGAGCAGGAATGGTAATCGAGTACGACAAATCGATATCGAGCTCGGTTGCCCAGAAACAAATATTGATCCTCGTACTCGATTAGCGATCGAGCTCGACTTGTAGTTATCGAGCTCGATTATCAAACGTCGTTTGCTTATCGAGCAGGAATGGTAATCGAGTACGACAAATCGATATCGAGCTCGGTTGCCCAGAAACAAATATTGATCCATCCCGTAACTGTTTATGATGTGTCATGCGTGATATTTTATACCTAAATGTGACCTTGAGTCTCGATTGTTCGAGCCACATGTAGCTTTCAGGTATTTTCCAATACGTTCGGAACTCGGTTTCTTTTCCTTGTCCAAAGAAAATAACTGATGAGCAGTTTTTCTTGCTTTTCCCTTTTTTTCTCGCTTTCTTTCATTTTCCTCTTCCTCTTTCTTTCTTCCTTTTTTTCCTTTTTTCCCTTTCTTTCTTTTAGTACCCACTTCTCAAATCTTCAAAACCTCGAAACGTTGACAAAACTCTGCAATTTATTGAGGGCTTATCACTCCCCGTTATGTATGTGTAAGTAGCGACTAACTGCAGGACACTAGAAGCCGCCGTCATTAAAAGAAAGTGAACGACAACAAGAATAACTTTCGCGCCAACCCAGCGCGAGTCATCAACTGGCTAGAGGCAAATTTTTAAGCTACAATACAATACAATATAAATTTATCAACACTCCCCAGGAGGGCTTTCGGTGTTCATCATCTAAAAATTACAATACAGTCCTTATAAAATTACAACAAAATACGATAAAAATTATAATATGTTAAGTAAAAAATTTATGTAAAATTTCTCAATTTTCTTTTAAAACTAAAAATAGATTCCCAAAGCTTAAAAGTATTTTTTAAATCATTCTATGAGAAAACTGTCCGATATTAAAAGGTCCCTTGTCCTGTGGGGCTCTTAAAATAAGGAAAATTGTGTCCTAAACTTCGAAGCTTGTATTGATCTGTCAATTGATTCGTTTAATTAATTCGTCCTGCTATAACAAAATTGACCTTGTATCGTAAAACCAACCAACACAACCTAGTCTTCGCTTCGAAAAAGGACTGATCAAAGTCTAATGTACATGCGATTATTGTAGTTAAATTTCACGTGTCCATCAATCAACAATTTACTATACAAACAAAACAAGTATCTGGTTTCAAAAGGTAACGAAATTGTTCTCGCGTAGGGGCGTCTCCATGTTTCCGACAAATTAACAAGGCGGAAATTTCGAGTAATGCGACCACTCAACTCTCCTCGTTTTAAGAAAAGCAAGGCGAGATAAGGGGGCATTAGACCAGATGTACGGCTTCGCGATAGTATAGCTGCGATTTGACTGGAAGTGGCCGGCGAAAATCTTTCAAGATTGAGGTTACATTATCGAATTTTTTGGTGTTGCTGATGAGCCCCTCTGATGATCCAGGCGGCGAAGTTCTGCACAGCTTGAAGCTTAAGTAGATGTGTAGTTGCTACATCCGACCAAACCGATGAACAATAGAACAGTTTATTGAATACGAGGGCGTGAGAGAACTCTTGTAGTAAAGCAGTAGATGTAAATTGAAATTTAACTGAAATTGTGCTTGAATATTTGCAACCTGTAGAACGATCGCTAAGGCAGACCGTCCGGGAAACTTCACCATCTTCCACTGTAGGATAAGCACCATCCAACCAGCCTGACTGCACTGCTGGCACACGCGTTGTTAGCATTTTAGTTTCAGCAGCTCCCACGAAACGATACCATCCCTCGGTGAGGAGGTTGTCACATAACTCTAGATTGATAGGTGTTAAGTAACTGATTTTTCTATCGGCCTCACTCAGGTTCTGATACTTATAACACGGATCGGCTATAACGAAAGAAATTTTCGCTGTTCTTATCGCAATGAAGTAGCCTCAAGAACCCCACAGAATGAAGGACTAATCCAAGTTTCGTGAGTTCTCTGGTGAGTAACATGTATGATTTAGTCCAGAACTTTGCTAGTCAAAGACAAATACCCTAACCACCCCCCACCACCCCTGATAAAAAGGCTAGTTCATATACCGGTGCTGAGTAACTGCTCTTTCTAACGGCATCACTCAGGTTTGTGCATTTTTAACACGGATCGCGTACAAAGTTAAATTACACTAGCGAAAAGAAATCTTCATCGATCTTTTGATAGTGACGTAACGTCAAGGTTGGGAACTTTCATAGTTACGTTACCGAACTTCCTGGTGTTGCTGATGATCCAGGTGGCGAAGTTCTGTACAGCTTGAATCTCAAGTAGATGTGTGGTTACTGAATACGAGGGTATTATTCATGGCTATTAGAGTATTTCTATCAAATATATGCTTTACACGACTGATTTAAACAAGGCTGGACATATAGGACAAAACAGTTTTAAGGATGTGATCGTAAAAAATGAGGTTCGGATCCAATGTAAAGCTAAGATCTTTAACGGCTTTTGCGGGTATAGGATCATTCCTCAACAACGACAAACAGACGTCAGGGAGGTTGGAGAGTGTTTGGAAACTTCCGTATAGCATGAGCTGGGTCTTATCTGGGTTCATAAGAAGACGATTATCGAGGCACTAATTACGAATTCTGAGTATATCTTTATTAATATCAGAGACTGATTTTGCACAGTCTTGGATTGGAAAGAAGATAAAGAGTTTGGCGTCTTTCAGATAAATAACTGTTAAATTAAGTGATGCCAAAGGGTGAAATGCCAATGTCTTGCAACTTATTCAGTACAATTTCATGGTTTATGCTGTTAAATGCCTTAGTCATATCCAATAACACAACCGCAGTTACTTTTTCTGTCTATGCCGCTCAGGGAAATCTTTGACACAGATTATATTGCCAATGAACACTTGAAACAGATCTTACTTTAATTATGTGCAACCTAACATCAGTATGCATATTTTCCACACTTTCTCTATACACTACCTGTAGTTCTGACAAGGAGAATTTGTGTAACAATCAAGAGCTTCTTTTGTTGGTGATCATTTTCTTTACTCTCGTGACGTTCCTGTTTGATTCAGGGGTGATATTGTAAGGAGAAATTATGGGTTAAAGTGTTAAAAAAAACTTTATTAGTTTGGACTTTAAACGATTAATGTGACTGAGTACAAAAGGATATCGGGGGTAAGTTTCTAAAGAAACTCAGGTGCTGCGTCGGTTGGTCAGTATAACAAGGTAATCTTTTATCATCAGCTAAGTTTATAACGTGAATTGGCTACCATAGAGAGTTTAAAAGCTGACGTTTCGAGCGTTAGCCCTTCGTCAGAGCGATTGAAGGAAGGGCTAACGCTCGAAACGTCTTTAAACTCTTAACGATGGCCAATTTACATTATTAACTCAGTAGATTTATTAAATTACCCTGAGTACGAAAGGTCCGAGCTGGGTACGAATCAATTGGTGTGCTAAAAGTCGACTAAAATTTTGATCTAGGTTTTAACGAGAAAAAAAAACAAAAACAAAAAAACAAAAAAACAAAAAACTCGTTTTGTCACGATCAACCAAATCCAGAACACTTTATGTGGGCGCACGGCTGACCGACTGACTTTCTTGAAATATTTCATCGGGCTCTTAAACAATTTTCCTGGTATTCTATCGTACACATGCACAAAAAAGTGCAAATCAATTTAGAAAATGTTCTTACTCATGAATCAGTGAATTACATTGCATCCTTCCTTCACTTTTTATCTCAACTATACCAAATTCCCTGATGTACAAAACGACGGCGAATTATCCGCCTTAAAACCTTCGTTGGGGTTTCTAAGCTGTGAACTTTGAACTTTTTTTTTCTTCTGATGCACCCTTATAGCTGACAGAATTCGCAGCAGCTCGCCAGTAAACTCCGTTGTGTATAAACCAATCTGAAACTTTTTTCGATTGAGGGTAAATCTGAGAATTAAAAGATTCTTTTTTCCTATAAGAGCACTCATGGCAATGAGATGTTTCGGAAATCGATGTTTCAAATGACCATTGTTGTATCATAGCAGTGGTAGGATGTTGTTCCAACAAGGAACGGAGAATGGGCAATGAAGATAGAGGAACGAGGAACAGGGAACGGTAAAGTTAGAGTGGGAAACAAAGAACGAGGAACGGAGTACGGGGTACGGAGTACGGGGAACGGAGTACGAGGAGCGAATAACGAGGAACGGAGAACGAGGAACGGAGAACGAGGAACGGAGAACGAGGAACGGAGAACGAGGAACGGAGAACGAGGAACGGAGAACGAGGAACGGAGAACGAGGAACGGAGAACGAGGAACGGAGAACGAGGAACGGAGAACGAGGAACGGAGAACGAGGAACGGAGAACGAGGAACGGAGAACGAGGAACGGAGAACGAGGAACGGAGAACGAAGAACGGAGAACGAGGAACGGAGAACGAGGAATTGAGAACAGGGAACGGAGATCCGGGAACGGAGATCCGGGAACGGAGAAGGAAGAACCGGGAACGAAGAAGGAAGAACCGGGAACGGAGAAGGAAGAACCAGGAACGGAGGTGGAGGAACCGGGAACGGAGAAGGAAGAACCAGGAACGGAGGTGGAGGAACCGGGAACAGCGAAGGAGGAACGGGGAAACGGAAGTATGGGACCGAAATTACTACGTAATCCGCTGATGGCCATGGGTTCAAAAGGATCTGAGCACCAGATTTGAGCAAACCCTCTTCGAACTCGGACGTTAAAGCAAGGATGAAAAATGAAGTTATTTTCAATAGTTTTTAAATTGAACTTCCACTTCAAATTCATAGCAGCCATAGTATAATCGTGATTGCAGAGCAAATTGACAACAGATGGCAGGCCACCTTTGACACATGGTTTTAATCCAGGAATATTATTATAACAAAGCCGAAACATTTTGAACCCCACAAATACAGAAGATGTCGTGAATAAAAAACGGAATATCATAGTACGCTTTTTATCACGTGTCTTTCAGTCGTAATTTTTTCAAGGTAGCACAAAGTCACTAACTTCAATCAATATAATTTCAAGAATACGTAAGTACCAAAGCCATTCTGGACTGCCCTGTTTAACTATTATCTCCTAAAAAGATAAGACTCAAGAAGTCTTTGTAAATGATGAAACCGATATTTGATACCTACCATCATTAGAACTCAGTTCGCCACCGACGTAAAAATTTGCCAATATGCACCAAGTTATAACGATGATATTAACGATTTCGATAAGAAATGGACTATTGTGAGTCGTGAAGTACATTGTTTGCAAGGATCTATTTATGAGGTGTCTCATTTTATGAAGTTATTAGAAACAGTTTTAGTGCGTGCTGCAATAGCGTGAATTGCAACCAGGGGGCTGAGCAAGTTTGTAGTTGTAAAACGATACAAATTTTTTAACTGAAATAATGATTAAATATTGCAACCCGTCACACGGTAACTAAAGCAGACCGTGCTGGAGACTTCACTGTCTTCCACTGTAGAATGAGCACCATCCAACCAGCCTGACCAATCTGTACCACATCTGTATGCTGGAACACGCGTTGTTGGCATTTAGGTTCCGACAGCTCCCACAAAACGATATCATCCCTCTGTGATTGGGTAGTCACCAAACACTGGACCAGAGAGCGGTGTAGCGTAACTGCTTTTTCTGGTGGCATCACTAAGGTTGTGGTAATTGTGACATAAATCGGCGAAACAGCTGAATAATAACTGTGAAAGGGAAATTTTATTACTATTGTAATTATAATTTAGCTCCAAGGAATCACTTGAGGCCAGAGACTTGTCACTTTCACTTCACCATCATTTTTATTTATATTTTCCTACATAAAAAACATATATATATATAAATCTTGATTATAGTTGTGAAAACAGGTTTTTGCCTTCAAAAAATAAACGGACCGACGGGAACAAATCCATAAACTTCCTCTGGGAAAAAGCTTTCCTGGGGGCACTCGCTGGCTGCGGGAAGGCCGGGATCTATCACGGTTGTTGACTATCCTCGAGACAATGACTAACAACAACAAGGTTGGCTTCAACGTAGATTTATTCTGCAAGCTCTACTGCACTTTTGATCCTACTTTTTGACCGCCACTCTCTGAAAACTCTACAAAACAGCTCTATTTAAGCCCAAAGTATAAATGGTAAGTAACCACATAATGATCGACTAAAGGAACAGATGAAATTGTTATTCCCAGATGATCAAAGAAAAATTCCTCTTACCCTTCTTTTGCCGTAAGTGAGGTCGGTGGACGTGACATAAAGGATGTGGCTTGAAGTAATGTAGTGTCTCTTAATGCTATAATTCTGAAACTTATCACAAATTATTTTAGGTTATATATGCACGTAGATCTTCCTTATGGAAGATGAAGTCAGTGGAAGCGGGAGTGACGTAAGTTTATCAGTCACATATTTGCGTGCGTTTCGTCTCACAAAAATGTCTTAACGTCTTTAAAGAATCGTTTATAGACTTTCCTTCAAAAAGGTAATAAAAAATTAAACAAAAACAAATCAAAACAATCAAAAGAACGAGATGTCGCTGCCAAAGTCATGAAATTCAGTGCCGGAAGTTTATCGTTACAAGGATTATTCTATATTTTTAGAGAGAACCTGCGAGCAAAAAACCAGGAAGACGGGCAGCCCAGGCGAAATGGGATTTAATAATTGATGTTATTTTCTTTCTATGTTGTAAGACTTATATATGTATCAAGCGCCATTTCTTCAGCCAATACGCCATGTTCATTGGGCTGATATATTCTCAGTCTAATTCGTACGTAACTTGCGCCGTGCGCTCGAACTAATAATTTGACCCAGATTCAACTTTCAAAGAATATCTGGTGTTGTTTTGTTTTATTTTGTTTTTTTAGAATGGCTTGTATAAAAGCTAACAGTGTAGATATGACTGAGATTTTACCCATTTCACCCAACACGCTTTCCTACAAGATTCACCTGTTAAGGTATGATTTAATCGAAATAAGAAGTACTTTACTCCCGTAAGTTATACTACTTTATTAAACAACGTGTGATAATTTTTTCTTAGGGGGTGGGTGGGTGGGTGGGGGACTGGGGTCTGTTCTTGTTATTGGCAATTTGACATTGACGGCGAAAAACCGCAGGAAAAGCAGATACTTAGACGATAAGTTCTTTGAGACTGTTTGATAAAAAAACTTTCAAAATTTAAAAGATTGAACATCTTTTTCAGCATATTTATCCGACGAATTTTTCATTTATTCCCACCAAAAGATAAATACCCTGCCAAATTTATTGTATATTTAACATTTGACGTATAGCAACTTTGGTAATAGTAGACATATAATCAAAAGAAAAGTCATGTTACCGTTTCGAGCCCCCCTTCATTTGTCAGTTTATGGAGTAAAAATACGCAGACGTGTTATTCTCATCAAACTTCGCCCACGGGGTTGAAACTTTAGCGACCCAGTGGTAATTTTTGATGTAAACAGAGCAACATATTGTTTACCAGAGCTTTCGTGTTACATAGAAATAAACATTTAAAGGTTGGGTTAGTAAACTCCGAGCACTGATAATCTGCTTTCGTTGAAAAAAAACCCTAAGTTATTTTGCTTTCAAAATCGTACTATACCCTTTTTTGAGAGTGAAGCCAACCTTTGCCTTTTGGTATGCATAATTAAAGGAGCCACGGGTAAATATCCTTTCTATTAATTTTCCAGGGAAAGTATTACTCAAATGATCAACTCTTACCTCTCAAGGCACAAATCTCTGTGGTCCCTCACTGCTTTTGAGGTAAAAGTGCTTTATTTTATAACAATGTGGTAGCTATGGTTACGATAGAACACCTGGTTTCAAGCCAAAACGATTATTAACTTTAAATATGAACTTCCATGTTCCCTCTAAAATGTCACCGAACCATGGCAACAATTACGCAATAATCATCACGATCACGATCACGATCATCACGATCTCAAATTTTGCAATAAGTGTAATTTTCAGCTGATAACGTTGACAGGTTATCATTATGAAACATCATATTCGGTCTAAAGTGACTTTCAAACGTTGTTTAAGAAGATTTCCTTCAAGTTCTCAAATAATCCAGCTCCAAACATGCAATGACACTCTTAAGTTTGCATTAACCAAAAGGGTTCCACTTACAGTGTATGTAACTTCCTAAAGATAAGTAGTGGCTAAGTAAATTCGTAATGTTTTTTTCCTTTTTGCCTCAAGAAATTTGGCACATGTTTGTGGTTTTGAAAGTAAGTTCTCTAATTAAGAAAGGACTTTCATCAAACTGTCGCGCAATTTTAGTTTGAAAACTTGCTCTGGCCTCAAGGACGTCTTCCAGTAAATACTGATGATTTGTGTTGGAATTTACTGTGAATATTTACACAGCTCCATCTTGCGCAAAAGCCACAATGACCATAATTCACGGACGTCAAGCAAATGCAAGTTGACAATGAGGACAAACAGATTAAACAAAATGCGATGTAAATTTACGCTGATATGCCAAATACTTAAAAGTTGTTGCTAAATAATTTTTAGCATGACAGTTTTTAATGAGTCATCGACAGTGTAGTTTAAATAAATTAATGGAGTCGCAAATATGACTTTCCTTTTTTTCGTTCTACACACTGTCTTGAAATTTGCTTACGTCGTTTTCGCATTACTAAGAGTTCATTGAATTGTGTTTTCGAGTTGATCAACTCTAACCTCTCAAGTTGCAAAGCTCTTTGGCCCCTCACTGCTTATGAGGTAAAAGTCCTTTCTTCAGCTATGGTTACAATATAAACACTTGGTTTGAAGCCAAAATCGTTATTTATTTCAGTTAAGAACTTCAATGTTCCCTCTACAATGTCACTGAACCATGGCAAAGTTCAAATATTTGTTTTAGGAAAAACGACGCAAATGTCATTACGATCTCAAATCCTTCAATAAGCATAATTTACAGCTGGTAACGTTGCCAAACTATCGTTATGAAACATCATATTCGTTCTAAAGTATGCACGGAGACACTTATTCATGCCTTTATATCTAGCGGCTTGGACTATTGTAACAGCCTCCTATTTGGAGTTCCTGAGTGCCATCTTCACAAATTAAAGAGAGTCCAGAATGCAGCTGCACGCCTCATATTTCAGGAGAGCAGATTTTGTCATATCACACTTCTGCTCAGGTCACTTCACTGGCTGCCTGTAAAATATCGCATAGTTATTAAAATTATCTTAATTACTTTTAAAGCAGTACATGGTCTTGCCCCGGCCTACAAAAGTGAGCTGATTTCTGTTAGAGACACCGGAAGATATGATTTACGTTCCAATGACGGCTTACTCCTTGCTCCTTGCAGGGATAAAACACTCACCACGCTCGGCGATCGATCTTTCCATGCGGCCGCCCCTAAATTGTGGAACGATCTTCCAGGCTCTATCAGAAACACCCAATCTTTAAACTAGTTTAAGAAAGCCATTAAGACTTTTTTTTTATTTGCCAAAGCTTTTTAATTCTTTGTATCTAATTTTATATTTTTACATCTCCTTCGTGGAAATTTTTTAATTTATTTATTATTACTTTTATTTTTATTTTATTATTATTACTATTTTTTTCCATTCTTTTAATTTTAATTTTAATTGTAATGCGCAATTGAAAATTCTTATCTTGATAATTGCGCAATATAAGTCTATAAATTATCGTTATTAATATTATTATTCTTAATTTTACTTTGAAAACTTGCTCTGGCCATAAGGAAGTCTTCGAGCAAATACTGATGATTCGTGTTGGAATTTATCTATTAAAGTTTATGCGATGTCAAACACACGCAATACAAACAATTTGCTCGAACCTCAAAGGCTTCAGAGCTACTATACAAATTCAAGTTGACAGTGAGGACAAACAGATTAAAAAACATGCGATATGGCAAATCCTTAAGTTTTTTGCTAAATATTTTCAGCTTGACAGTTTTTAATGAGTAGTCGACAGTGTAGTTCAAATAAATTAATGACGCTGCAAATATGACCATTTTTTCGTCATGCCATGCACAGTTTCTTGAAACTTATTACCCATACTTAATTGAATTGTTTACTGACTTGTCCCAAGCAATGTTAAAAAAACAAGTAACAATGGCGCGAAATTAAATCATTGTGTTTTCCTTAAAAAATTTGGGTTGAAATTGCCGTGACTAAAAGATGCACTTGGAAGGCTTGAAATTTTGAGGACTTTCTTACTTCGACCAATCTATTAATAACGTTTTCATTGTGAGACGTACACCCTGGGGTTGCTTACTGCGATTGTAAAGGAACTGTTTGCAGCTCTGCGATGATTTGCAACTCCTGCAGTCTTGACCACTCAACACAAGAAGTATCTTCGATCGAGAGTTAATAACTTTATTTCTCCATCATTTACTCTCCAAAAATACAATTTAACTATCTAATAAAATATCAAAAATGTAAGGCAGTGTGCTAATCAAACTTTCCTCGATTGACCGGCCGGAAACTTTAAAGAAGTTGAAAAAAAATGAATAATTTCTCTCTTGAGAAATATAACAAATTTAGGAAAAAAGTTTCAAACTTTGCCATTAGCATGTTTTGCAA